GAGATAGCAAGAAATGAATTAAATAATTTTAATTAAAGAAGGGAATGACGAAAAAGAGAATTAATTAGGGATGAAATTAGTTTATTAAGTAATGTGTAAAGTAAATTTTTAGAAAATTAAAATTGGCAGAGAAATTGTAACGTTATTATTATTTAACGTAATAATAATGTTAACCAATATTAATGAAATTTTCAGCATTTCATATAAATGTTAAAAACGTGTTGCTTGAATTTTTATTACGAGCTCAGTTTTAAAAGACTTTGATTCATTTGTGCTCTTTGTTGTATGTTAACTATATCAGTAATTATTTAATATTATTTATAATTATTTCAGACGCTTGACAAATCAAGAAATTCACCATTGGTATCCTTATGCCTTGCTTTAAGCCTTCTCGGAAGGCGTGTTTTGGGAGCGATATCTCATAACACAATCTCCAGTGTTGAATTTTTTCTCTATGGTTTACATGCTCTCTTTAAAGGTAACACGATTTTTGAACTAATGCTGAATCGATGTCACTCGAGATATTTAAAAGACATATTTGTACCTGCATAGGAGATTTTCGTATAACATCGGTCCGAGACGAATGGGTTTTACACGATGTTGACTTGCTTCGAAATGTCGTCGCGAAAGGTGTAAGAATGGCGTTAAAATTGCATCAAGATCATTTCATGCATCCGGAACAATATAGAGAATTATCTGCCTTGTACGAAGCTATAGATAGTCATGATAAAAATCTGGTGATTAGCCACGAAGCAGATCCGCTTTGGAGAAACGCTGTTTTAAATGGTGCTCCCAGTCTTTTGGCCCTCAGGTATTTAAATACTTGGAAAATTTGCAAACGCCAATAGCTTCTCTCATTTCATATTACCTTTTATCTTTAGGCATGTCCTTGACGATGGTATGGATGAATACAAAGTGATAATGCTTAACAAACGGTTCTTAAGTTTCCGAGTAATTAAGATGAATCGTGAATGCGTTCGCGGTTTATGGGCTGGCCAACAGCAGGAATTAGTTTACTTAAGGAATCGAAATCCGGAGCGAGGCTCTATACAAAATGCCAAACAAGCTCTAAGAAATATAATAAATAGTTCTTGCGATCAACCGATCGGATATCCGATTTACGTCTCGCCGTTGACGACTAGTTACGCGGAGACGAACGAACAGTTGTGTTCAGTCATTGGAGGACCGTTGAGTCTGGGTGTGATTAAAACGAACATCTTAAAATTGTGGCAGAGGTATGATTGATTATTAAATTTAACTACAGGTTTCTCTACCAAGACTATATTAAAATTTATCATTATTGAAAGTATTATTTATAGAATCAGAAGAAGATGTGGTCAGGGTTGTTCGTCTGGAGGGACGGGCTCTCAAGATGATGGTGGCTTTGGAAACGATGGGGTGTACGCAATGACCACGTATAACATTCACATAGGTATTTACGATCGATTATATATTACACAGTCCAACAAGAAAACACTTTTTCCATTTTTAGCAATATCCACTATGTGATTCTTACAGATTACGTTATCATGCAAAAATGAAATCCGGGAATAGAATTGCTCTATCACGTACCGTTCCCGAAAAATACCGGTTTTTATAAAAGTGCATGATTTTCGGGAGAAATGAGTTACATGTGTCTGTACATGGCTTCTTTATAAGAAATGTCTGTAGAGTCCAATATTGTATACTAAATTCCGGTTGGATAAAGAGATTTTCACATAAATATAAAAATAATACGTGGAAGATACTCGGACCAGCGCTTTCAAACACTAACACTTATTAGACTGCGCATTTTATCCACTTATAGAAAAATTGCATCCATTAAATACATAGAAAATGCATTCAGTGTTCAAGAACTCATACAACATCAAAAATAAAATTCATATTATTCTCTGAAGGATAAAAGAAATTGCTATCAAGATTACATTTTCCGAATTGGCATTGAAAACGTTTTATTTCACATAAAAATCCACAGTCTAACAGTTATTTACAATTATTAAAACGAAAACAAAAAGTGGTTTCCGTGGATATACTGTGGAAAGTCTCCTCTTCATATCTATTAATTCGAAATGAACTGTCTCGCGCTCTTAGTTTTCATGTAATTTCTCACTTTCTTCAAAATCATGCACTTTTATAAGAACTACTTTTCGCAAACGGTACATGATATAACATTTCTGCTTTCGGATTCGTTTTTGGCATGAGGAAACGCTATAAAAACAATGTAGTGGCTATTGCAAAAAAATGTTGTGTTATATAGTAC